CCTCTCTTTCTGACTCATTTCACTTAGCATGATACTCTCCATGACCTTCCACTTACAAGCAAATTTTATGACTTCATCTTTCCTAACAGCTGCATAGTATTACATTGTGCAGGTGTACCAAAGTTTCTTTAACCAGTCATCTATTCTCGGGCACATAGGTTGTTTCCAGATTCTGGCTATTGTGAACAATGCTGCAATGAACATATAGGTGCAGATGTCATTTCTACTGTGCTTTATTGTACCCTTGGAATATATTTCCAGAAGTGGTATTTTGGGGTCATATGGAAGCTCAATTTCTAGTTTTTTAAGGAATGCCCATATTGGGCGGGCAGTCGTTATTTTTCTTTTCTTTTCTTTTTTTTTCTTTTTTTTTTTTTGCTTTTTGGGTCACACCTGGCAATGCACAGGGGTTACTCCTGCCTCTGCACTCAGGAGTAGTTACTCCTGGCAGTGCTCAGGGGACCATATGGGATGCTGGGAATCAAACCCGGGTCAGCCGCGTGCAAGGCAAGTGCCCTACCCGCTGTGCTATCTCTCCAGCCTCCCAGGCATTGTGAGGTTCAGCTGCAGTCTGACCTTTTCATGCTCACGGTCAAAGTCGTCCAGCAGTTGTGATGCTTGGTTAATGTTTGCTGTTATTAGAACGATGTCATCAGCGAAGCAGAGGTGGTGTAGTTGCTGACTGTATATCTTTACTCCCATTCCTTCCCATTCCAGTCATCACATGACGTTCTTGAGGGTGGCACTGAAGAGTTTCAGTGAAATGGTATCGCTCTGCCAAACCCCTCTCTTAACATCGATGATCACTTTCTTGTAGAATGGTGAGGTCCTAGTGGTGAATCCGTAATACAGCCACAGAGGATCCTGATGTACTGAGTTTGACTGCTCTGTTGGGCTAGGGCTTCGATGACCACGTCAGTCTCAACAGAATAAAAGACCTTTTTTAAATCGATGAACGTTAGGCAGAGTGGCATCTTTGGCATCTTGAACTCTTGCGAAATCTCAGTGAGCGTAGTGGATATAGTCGATCACGCTGAATCTCTTTCGGAACTCGGCTTGCACGCATGGTTGTCCATCTTCTAGTGTTCTGCCAATCCTATTCAGGATGACAGCTTGTAGATGATGGACAACAGGCAGATCAGGCGATAGTTGCCAATGTCCTGGATGTCTCCCTTCTTGTACAACAGAATGGTCCTGCTGGTTTTCCATTGGGAAGGAACCTTGCATTCAGATAGGTAGAGTGTGAAGAGCCAAGCCAGTGTATTGACCAGTACTGGTGTCAGATTCTTCAGGTGTTTGGGTCTGACCTTGTCTGGGCCAGGTGGTGTACACTTCTTACCAACGAAATGGCGTGTCGGATTTCGGAAAGGAGGACGTTGGGAACGACATATCCATCCTGCGGAATTTGTATGTGGGCACTTGGACATGGCTATCGAAGAGATCCAAGTAGAAGTCGTGAACAATCTTCTCCATTTCCCTTCTGGAAGATGTGATAGATCAAACAGGACATCGGAGGGCAGTCATCTTGGTCTTACTTATAGTTGGCGAAGGACAGGCAGGTGTTGCGAATATTTTTCCCAGCTTCTGCCGCATCAGCCAACACTATTGCTCTTCTCTCTTTGAGGTCTTCCTTTATCGCTTTTCTGCACAGCTTTGCGAGCTCGGACATTAGCTTGTGATTGCCAGAGGCTTGCTGCAAACCACGTTGGCAAATGAGCTCGAGAGTTTCCTAAGACAGGCATCTGTTTGTGACTTTCCCACTCTTGGCATTCCGTGAGCAGTCATGGAGGTGCTGAACCAGTCAATTGGATTCCTCGTTGATGTCAGCGACGGCATCTTCCTACGTTGCCTCAGTAGTGCCAAAGAGCTCCCATTTGGTGGTCATTCTGGAAGTTCTCTTCTTAAACTTTGCAGTCTTTTCTCCCTGCTCTGTGAAGTAGAATTTTGCATGAAGGAGATGGTTGTCCTATCCGTTTTGGAATTTTGGGACAACAGCATCATCAGTCAGGCAAAACGGTCCATTGAAAATGATGTGGTCAATTTCACTGTGGAACTGTCCCCCAGGGGACTCCCATGTCCAATGTTTAGATTTGGCCTTCTGGAACTGTGAGTTACCATGTATGGTCTTGGTCAACAAGGTGAACTCAGATCGTCTCTCACCCTGTTCGTTCCATTCTAGGCCATTGGTCCCAATGTGGAGTTCTTCGGGCAACCTCCTCAGTCCTATCTTGGCATTAAAATAACCTACAGTGATCTTGTAGGAGGTGTGGTCTTCTTTATAGAACTTCTTCAGCTCCATGTAGAACTTCTCAATACCTTCTTCATCGTAGTTGGATATTGGTGTATAGACAACAAAGATGGAAACTGCCAGCAGTGAGCCACATCTATTCAAGCGTAATCGTCTGATTTGGGTTGTTAGGCATTCATATGAATCAATGCTCATGGCCAAGTTCATGTTGACCAGGACACCAACACCACCGATGCCTCTATTGTCACATGTTCCAAGGAACAGTTCTTCTCCAGTGTTGTAAATGGCATGATGTGATCGATGCCTTCTCATCTCGGTCAGACTAATGATGTCATACTTAATCTGCGATTGCACCATCAGGTCCTTGATGGGTGCTTCGGATGCTAGCGTACGTTCGTTGAAAGTAAAGTCATTTTAGTCCTTCGTTTTGGCAGCCTAGTTCGGCCCTGAGATTTTATCAGCCTCTCTTTGTTTATCCTTATTAACACTGCCGTATTGGGGGCTCTTTCAGGTCAGGGCAATGAGGCCCATTGTTTTTACTGTTTTTGGCATATCAAATATGCCACGGGTACGTGCCTGGAGTCCAAGGTCACAAAGTCCCACCTCACCTGCTTCTGTGAGGCTACACTCATGTGTGAGGTCGGCAGGAGCTTGCCAGGCTCTGCCGTGTGGGCGGGATACTCTCTGTAGCTTGCCAGGCTCTCTGAGAGGGATGGAGGCTTTTAGGGAGGCCTCTAATCACCGTTACAGGCATTCCCATAGTTTACACCATATTTGAACCCCATAAAAAGTGGTGCGGTAATTTTGGAAAATGGGTATTAAGTGTCTTATGCTGTGTTGCATGGCGCTTTGTGGCCACACTGTCCAGAAAGCGGCCTGCAGTATGGGGGCAGCTGCGTAGTGGAGGTCAGCAGATGAGGTATTTATCTGGCACCTGCAGGGTGGATATTATGGGCATGATCCCTGGGTCTCCAGAGATTGGGGGAAGCAGGCAGAGGATCTCTGTTTCCGGGCCCCATTGAGTCTGGAGTCCAAGGTCACAAAGTCCCACCTCACCTGGTTCTGTGGGGCTACACTCATGCGTGAGGCTTGGCCTGAGCATCTGGAAAGGAGCCCGGAGCGTGGCGGATATATATCTATGTATATCTATATCTATCTATCTATCCTGCAAGGGTATGCCAGTGTTTCTTGAATAGAGTTTACTGAAAATTTCTTTCTGTTTTTTTCCCCTCCTGTGTATTTCTTTGCTTGTTTTAAAGAGTTTGCATGTTTTTAAAAGAAGAAAATTCATTCTAGCATCTTGGAACAAAATCTTTTGTCAAAAATGAACTGCTTCTGGTACTGGAGTGATAATATAGCAGGAAAGGTGCGTGCTTTGCAGGCGGCTGACCAAGGTTCGATGCCTGGCATTCCATATGGTCCCCTAAGCACCACCAGGAGTAATCCCTGAGCATTCCTGGGTGTGACCCACAAACCAAAGAAAGAAAGAAAAGAGAGAGGAACTGAGGGAGGGAGGGCAGGAACTGGTTCATTTGACCAATATATCCATAATGTTATTTCTGAAGTGTCTAGTAAATACCCGATATCGTCAGACCAGTGACAGTCAGGTGACCCTGGCATTCAAGAAGCTGAAAGTCCAGGAGACTGACAGGTGAGTCCGTGATCACATACAGCGTGACAAAGGTCAGGGCACAAAGATCTCTGTGGGAATGACTGGTAAGAAGACAGCTTCCAACAGCTCCTCTTCCATTGACCATGTCTTCTTTGTCCAAAACCAAGGATTGACCCTATTTTAATCTTTAGCTGGGTGTGTTGTCATGAAGTAGTTTGAATTTCTCAGGGTGTAAGAAACATTTTGAATTGTAGAGGCATCCATTAGAAATAATATTTGCTGCAGAGCAAGGACTTCTGCAGACATCATCACTCCTAGGGTTTTATTTCTTCTTTGGGGTTGATGGGGAGACATGCCCAGTGGTGCCCAGCGCTTACTCCTGACGCTGTGTTCAGGGATCACTCCTGGTGTGTTCCAGGGTCTGTGTAAGGTTCCAGGAATGAAACACAAGTGGGCTGCATGCAAGGCAAGTGCCCCACTTGCTGTTCTATTTGGCCCCTATTCCTAGAGTTTTCAACTTGGAAAAATTTGTCAGCATATTTTTTCTTTGCTCTACATTTATTTTCTCCCCCCCCCCCCCCCGGTTCCCCTTCACTTTGTCATCTAGAGACTTGGGTGTTTCTCAAAGGGAGAATTCTTGGGGCTGGGGCAATACCACAGCGGGTAGGGTGTTCGCCTTGCACACGGCTGACACGGGTTAAATTCCCAGTATTCCATATGTTCCCCCCGAACACCAGCAGGGGTAATTCCTAAGCGCATGGGCCACGAGTAACCCCTGTGCATCGCCAGGTGTGACCCAAAAAGAAAAAAAAAGAATGCTTTATGGATTCTAAGCGTGATTATAAGCGGCCAACATGGCCGACCCGAGTTCGATTCCTCCGCCCCTCTTGGAGAGCCCGGCAAGCTACCGAGAGTATCTCGCCTGCACGGCAGAGCCTGGCAAGCTCCCCGTGACGTATTTGATGTGCCAGACACAGTAACAACAAAGTCTCCAATGGAGACGTTACTGGGGCCCGCTCGAGCAAATCGATGATCAACGGGAGGGCCTTTACCTTTACATTTACCTTTTCATGCCAATAAATTAAATATAAATTTTAATGCTACATACTGATTATGCATATAATTTTAATTCTTTTTTAGAATTCTCAGCCATAATCCCCTAACAGCTATTGAAGATTCCTATCTTTTTAAATTGCCAGCATTAAAATATCTGTAAGTATTGTAATAAGTTTGTAGCTTATATGGTTTCTGCTATGATTTGCTGTCTTTATTTTTCTCCACTTCTGTCAAAGATAAAGTGTTTTGCATTGAATTTAAAAGTTATAATTTTAATTTTAACACTGGATTATTGAAATGACAGTTATTCTCAAAGGAAAAGATTAAGAAAGAATGACATGGGCAACAGCCAACAGAGGAAAAGAGCTATGTTGAGTACATATAGATAAGAAACATACAGATACGTGTAGAAGTATTATTTATTCAGAAAGTAACAAGTAATAATGGACACATTATTGAAAAAAGAAAGTAAAGAAAAGAGGACCAGATAGGTGAGTGGTTGGAGCCCATGCACTGCTTGCTTGGAGGCCTGGATTCGACCTCTGGCCCCTTATGTGTTCCCCAGATCTCTACTCAGAGTAACCCACAAGTACAGTGCCCAACATATCCCCCATGTACTATCAGATGTGGCCAAAATCCAAGGCCACCCGCAGCTCACATGAAAAAGAATCATTGAAAGGAGTAGATACAATTTAGAATGAGAAGTCGGACAAGAAAGGAAGGAAGAAAGGAAGGAAGGAAGCAGGGAGGGAGGGAGGGAGGGAGGGAAGGAAGGAAGGAAGGAAGGAAGGAAGGAAGGAAGGAAGGAAGGAAGGAAGGAAGAAGGGAATCAGGGAAGAAGAGAAGGAAGGAGGGAAGGAAGGGGAGAGAGAGGGAGAAAAGGAAGGAAGGAGGGAGGGAGGGAGGAAAGAAGGAAGGAAGGAAGGAAGGAAGGAAGGAAGGAAGGAAGGAAGGAAGGAAATTTTTTTATTCTCCAAAGTGTCATTAATTTGATGATAGAAAAGTCTTTTATCAGCAAGAGCTCTCTGGAATTATAGTCTACAGCAAACAGTTGACCTGGATTTACAGCAAAGCCAGAATCAAAGTTATCACTTCATTTATCTCATCTATTTAACTCTAGAGCTTCTGTATTTGGATTCACATCATGCTTGTGCTTTCTCCCTCAGAGACATGGGAGCAACACAAGTGACACTTGCAGCAGTTCAAAACATCCTCATGATGAATCTTAAGCTAGAAAAACTGTAAGTTGATTTTCTGACATTTAATTCACTTAATTTTTTTAAGGCTTGTTTATTTCTTTCTCTCTCTCTCTCTCAGTCTCTCTCTCTCCCTCTTTTTGTAGGGGTACTGGTATTTATTCAGCCATTGATTAAGCTAATTGAATTTGGCATGAACTCCACATTACTTTATTTTCAGAATGGTAATTTTATTTATTTATTTTTTAAAATCATTGAATCCGTGAGATACAGTTACAAAGCTTCCCTGTTTGAGTTTCAGTCATACAATGATAGGACACCCAACCCTCCACCAGTGCACATCTTCCACCACCAATGTCCCCAGTATACCCGCCCCCATCCCACCCCTCCCCCTGCCTCTATGGCAGACAATTTCCCTCATACTCTCGTTTGTATTGCTTGTTATGAATAGTACAATGCCGTTCGGCCACAAAAGTGGCTGTGTGTTCCTGGAATTCTAAAGTTTTAGATAATTAGGATGGGGAGAAGGCAGAGAGCTGCTCAGTTCAGAAATTCTTTTGTGTATCTCTGGATCATGACCATTAAGGAGCTTAAGAAGCAGCCAGAGGCAGTTTGTGGGCATGACCTCCAGGGTCCCACCTGCCCCCTAAAAATCCCAGGGGCCACCAACATCCAGAACCCAATGAGAAGTGCAGGTATGCAGTTTCAGTGACAGCAAACTCCAGGCCTCCAGGGATAGGGGATGGGCCTGTCTCTCTCATTCCCCCCCCTACTCCTGTGGGACCCAGCCCGGCAGTCGACCTCCACAACCCAACCACCACCATGCTCCTGGCCACTCCCCTCTCACTCGGGCTGAGTCTCACGCATGAGTGAAGTCCCAAGGAACCCAGGTAATGTGGAACTTTGTGAGCTTGGATTCTGGGCTCAACAGGACCCGGAAGCAGAGATCCTCTGCCTGTTTCCCCCAGTCTTCAGTGACACAGGGGTCACTCCCAGAAGCCACCTCCTGCCAGCGCTAGATAATCTCGTCATCAGCCAGCATCCAGATCACAGGGCTACTTCTCCCAGAAGGGAACATAACATGAGGACCCCATAGCCGTGCCACCAGACTTGGTGCCAGGCTGATGGTAGAGACCTAATCAAACCCAAAGAAGAAGGCACAAATTTTCCTGAATATGTTATCAGGGTGGAAGGGATGCCTATCTGCACTAGCAACGGGAGTCATTGCTTAAAAACACACACGCAATACTGAATGGCTGAATATCACAATTCTACTGAATCTACTGAAGCAATAAAAAACCATTGCTTAAAAAAAAAAAACATTGGGGCTCGAGCAATAGCACAGCGGGTAGGGCGTTTGCCTTGCACGCAGCCAACATGGCCAACACAGGTTCGATTCCCAGCACCCCATATGGTCCCCTGAGCACCGCCAGGAGCAATTCCTGAGTGCATGAGCCAGGAGTAACCCCTGAGCATTGCCAGGTGTGACCCAAAATGCAAAAAAAAAAAAAAACCATTGTTATTGCTCGCAGCAAATGGGTTTCTGGATACTGGAAGTGAAAGTTATGATACTCTACCATCTCTGCCTCCTATGTGAACTCCCTAAAGTTATTGAATTAGAAAACTGGATATATTGGAAACGATGTAGAGGAGAAAAAGCTAGAATCTATATTGATTCCTCTTATGGAAAAAATATTGATTGGAGTCCAGTAGGCTCAGCCTGGGCAAAAGGAACTAAAGAATGTTCTGAATTGGGGAGCAATACAAGGCTCTGAAGTGTCCCAAATTATAATTAACTCTAATATTAGCATAAGCCATAAGCCACACCCTGCCAGCGCCAGATAACCTCGTCATCAGCCACCCTCCAGAACTCATAGCTGTTCCTCCAGAAGGAAGCATAAAATGAGGCCCCCATAACCATGCCACTGGACTCCGTGCCAGGCTGTTTTCACTTGGGGTGCCCCAAGGGACCCAGCCCCAGCAGTGACCTCCACTACCCAACTGCTGCCATGCTCAGGCCACTTTCCATATGCTCGGGCTGAAGCTCACGGATGAGTGAAGTCCTACGGAACCCAGGTAATGCAGAACTTTATGACCTTGGACTCCGGGCTTAAACGGTAGCCAGGAGCAGAGATCCTCTGCCTGCTTCCTCCAGTCTCCGGTGACCCACGGCTCACACCGATAAGCCACACCCTGCTTGTGCCAGATAATCTTCTCATCGGCCACCCTCCAGAAGGGAGCATAAAATGAGGACCCCATAACCATGACACCAGACTCTGCACCAGGCTTTTTTCACGCAGGATGCCCCAGAGGGGGACGAGTGGGAGCCCTCCCCGCCCCAAGGGACCCAGCCCCAGCAACTGACCTCCACAACCCAACCGCAGCCACGCTCCAGGCCACTCCCTACTTGCTTGGGCCGAGCCTCACATGAGTGAACATATTCCTGGACCACACGGCTGCGACATATCACAAGACACTTCCTACCCATTCTCCATAATTGCCACACCAGATTTGATGGGGTTCAGACAGAAAGCAACAACTTACCTATCTAGATAGATAGATAGATAGATAGATAAGATAGATACCTCTTGGAGAGCACAGCAAGCTACCAAGAGTCCACCTGTACATCAGAGCCTGGCAAGCAAGCCATGACATATTCGATATGCCAAAAGTGTAGCAATAAAGGATCTCATTCCCCTGACCCAGAAAGAGCCTCCAATATGTTGGGAAAGATGAGTAAGGAGAGGCTGCTAAAATCTCAGGGCTGGGACGAATGGAGACGTTACTGGTGCCCACTTGAGTAAATCGATGAACAAGGGGATGACAGTGATACAGTGAATATTGGCATAATGGGGTGCGGAGGTAGCTTTCCGCCTCCTACACCCTTCCTTCCTGGGCATAAGAAACAAAATCATCTATGGAAAATAGGGAATTCCTTTGGACACATGACAGCCCGGACAGTTTTATCCAACATAACAATGTTGGAACAAAACGTACTTTACATTTTGATAGAAATCTTACCCGCTATATACAGGCTTGTGTCCCACTGCCATATGCCATGCTGAAAGGGAGAATTAGCTGGGATAAAGTAGCAGAGGTAATATCTTGCAGTGACTGCTCTATGTTCACTTGTATTCTTAACTCTGTGAGTCTCACAGCAGAAGAAAGCATCTATCTTCTTAGAGCTTGCATGGGGGTCTAGATGCCTGTGTGGCTTAACCGCTTGTGGGAAGACAGTCCAGCTACCAACATTCTTCACCGGCTGGTCACTCACCTGGCACCACACACAAAGAGGTTTGTAGGCCTCGTAATTGCTGTTATCATGGGACTCGTTGCCATCACTGCTACAGCATCAACGGCTTGTATTGCATTGAGGCAAGGATCTCAGACTGCTGAGTTTGTTAAGAAACGGCACGAGGGGGCTGGAGCGATAGCACAGCAGGTAGGGCATTTGCCTTGCATGTGGCTGACCCTGGTTTGATTCCCAGCATCCCATATATTCCCCTGGGCACTGCCAGGAGTAATTTCTGAGTGCAGAGCCAGGAGTAACCCCTGTGCATCTCCAGGTGTGACCCGAAAAGCAAAAAGAAGAATAAAGAAAGAAAGAAAGAAAGAAAGAAAGAAAGAAAGAAAGAAAGAAAGAAAGGGCATCAGGACTTTCAGAGACTGTGGACAACCCAGTGACAAGTTGATGCAGGATTACAAGAGGAATCGTCCGATGTTACACGAACTGTTACCCTACTCGGTGACCAGCTACCGAGTTTAAGAAGACAACGCACTCTAAAATGTGATTGGAATACTTCTGCATTTGTATAACTCCTGTACCTTATTATGAGTCTAAATCTCCATGGGAAAAGGTTAAAAAGCATTTGTTAAACCATAAAAAATATGACCGACAAAATCATAGAGTTGCAAACTAACATTCACTGTGTATTTCAGGCCCACTTGCAAGTCTGGGGACCTGATACCATTGGGGGTGGATTGTTGGATGGGATCACTCAACTAAATCCTAAGGATTATATTCTAGCCCTTGTGATGGGTTTATTAGTATGTTTGTACTTATTGTTCTGTTGTTTCTTTTTTACATAGCCTGCCAAAAATTCAGAAAACAAAACAGAATAGCCCAACAACAACACGCTGTACATGTCGTCATGAAGGCTAAGCTGGCTGCAAAACAAAAAGGGGGAGATGTTGGAGCCCGACCAGAGTCATGAGGAAGTTCCTACAGACACTGCCTTGCTTTCAGTGTCATGCTGGAAGCAGCTTGGAACTCTGATTGAACTGGGCAGGGGTCAGCATGTCATGATGCAGCTTCTTCTTGACACTGATTGATTATGCTATGCTTTGTTTAGGCAAAGTTAGAGGGGACATCCTGTCTAGACGGAAATGTAGATGATTGAAATATGGGGATGGGAGGTTAATCATCGACAGAGCAAGATCAATAGCCTTTTGTCCACATGGATTTGGTGATGCATCCCCTAGTGTACTGTATTACAATAAAAGAAGGTTGCTGGGTTTGATTAATGCCATTTGTCTGAGAGAACTCTTGGCCCTCCACGCTACCTCATTCCATGAATGTTGCTTATCTCTGTGCCCCCGACTGATCACTCCATAGAGAAATAACACCCCAGGTTGTAACTGATGTTTTTTTTATTGTTATCTGGGAGCTGGAGAGATAGGATAGTGAGTTAGGTATTTGATTTGCATGTGGCTAACCCACATTCAGCCTCTCGCACTGCCTATGGTTTCCCGAGCCTACTAGGAATGATCCCTGAGCCAAGAGCCCAGAGCAACCCCTGAGCACCACCAGATATGACCAAAAAACAAAACTCAGTTTTCTGAGGGCTGGAGCAATAGTACACGCTTTGCATGCATCACCTCCCAGTTGGGTTCCCACCACCTCAGAGTTTGAGCAACACCTCATCCATGTTTCTCAGGAACTTTTTCAATAGCTGCTCAGTGGCCTTGACTGCCTCTTCTACCTATTTAAAGTAACCTCTTGACTCTGCACTTAATTCTCTGTGTTTCCATTCATAGGATCTTACCTAACCATCTAACCTGCTGCCTCTGCCAATTTAAAAATAATATTGACGTTGTCTACAAGACAGTCAAACTACGTTGTGACAGTGAATGTCTTACCAGTAGTACACCCTGCGGTGAGTTGGATTGCCTGCTGATAGGTTTTTAATTTATGTTTCATTTTTATTTTAATCACTGATGGTACATTTGAAGCTGATTATGGAGTGCATTATTTTTATTCAGAGTTCAACTCCCTATATTTCCATGAGCTATTTCCCTTGGCAAAAGTCAGAATCTCAGCCACATCATTACCTTCGCAGTATATGAATGACCTGAAGGTTTAAGAGGAATGGAAGAAAGGGATGGAAGTGGGAAAGGGAGCTATCATTCATGGTCACAACTGAGTGCCACACTCTGGGCAAGGTGTTGGTCCTCCAGATGAGAACTCAGCCACACAATGCAGTTTGCAAACAGATTTTATACACAAGAAATATCAGTTGCCCTTTTCTTTATAGGACTGGTGTAGCTACCTTATTGCATGTGTTTTTATAATTTTATAGGCAAGTACAAGTCATACTATCTTATGCACGTTTTGCTTAGAGCCTGAGAAATTCTGGTCTTCTAAGCATAGGCTGCCACTCAGTCCTTCTAATGATGGATTCTTAGAGCATCCCCACCTCCAAACCTACTTTGAATTTTAACCCTTCAAATCCACAAAGCACTCAGGTGCCCTTATATATTTCCACATAGTAAGTTTACTTGATAACTTCCGCAGTGTCCTTTCAGGGACCCAGGAAAATAGATCAATAGGTTGCAACACATGCTTTTCATGTGGGAGGTGTGGGTTCAATCCCCCCATAAAATAATTTTCGAAGAACTGCTGAGAGTATCCCTTGGGCACTGCTGTATGGCGAATGCACGAGCACATGCGCACACACAACGCACACACACACAACACACACACACATACCACCAAAAAAAGTGTTTTCATGCCGGGATATTATGAATCTGCTTCGCTATCAGCAATTGGGCATATCACATCACTTTGCTTCTTACACAAAGATAATGTTACTTTTAAAATCAATTTTTAACAAATCTATTACTCTCTTCTCAGAGATGGGCATAACAACATTTACGACTCACCTTTCATAAGATGAACATCAAACCTGGGGATTTGTTGGGGGGGTGGGGAAAGAGTCAGATTAGAGGGGATGTATGAACTGTGGTGTCTCGGCACTTCGGCGGTGGTCCAGGTAAAGTTCACTTTGTACATGGAAACCAATAGCATTCGTATTTTGTAATCATGTTACTTCAACTTTAATAATGTTACTTAAAAAGTAATAATAATAATAATAATAATAATGTTATTTAAAGAATACCTGATCACTGATCACTGTCCTGCAGCTGTTAATCAATTTGCTCGAGCGGGCCCAGTAACATTGTGAAACTTGTTACTGTGTTTGGCATATCGAATATGTCACGGGTAGCTTGCCAGGCTTTGCTGTGTGGGCGAAATACTCTTGGTAGCTTGCCTGGCTCTCCGAGAGGGGCGGAGGAATCCAACTCAGGTCGGCCAGGTTGGCTGCGTGCAAGGCAAACGCCCTACCTGCTGTGCTATCGCTCCAGCCCCAAAGAATAACTAAACCAAATAATCTAAATTCAGAATAAAAATACTAATAACATTTTTAAGTGAATAATAGAAAAACAAAAAGTGTTAAATATGCCTAATGCCTAGATCTTGTGTTCCCAGTCTGGGACTCCCTGCAAGTCCATGCTTCTTCCTCACATCCCTTAACTCCCCCTCTAAATTTCACCACCACCAAAAGAACTTTTAATTCTCAGTAAAGTTTGGTTGGAAAGATAGTCTAGCAGTTGGGCACTTGCCTTGCATATGGCAGACGTGGGTTGGATCCCTAGCATCTCAGATGATCCCAAATTACTACCAGGAGTGATCCCTGAGCACAGAGACCGGAGTAACCCCTGAGCATTGCTGGGTTTGACCCCACCGCCCCCCACACCAAAAGAAACCCAAGTGCACAATTTTACACTTGACCTTCAAGAAGTCAGAAACTTTGTATGGTTCCCTAGGTAGAGCTGGAAGTATTAGGAAGTAAGTGAAGGCAAATACACATCTAATAAGAGTTGTTTTCCCCAATTTTGGGATCTCCAATGTTATTTCAGGGGCCAGAGAGATAGGACAGCGGGTAGGGAGATAGTATAGTGGGTAGGGGACTTGCCTTGCACACAAATGACCTGAATTCCATTGCCGACATACTATACAGTTTCCCAAGCACCAACAGGAGTGATTTTTGTGAGCAGTGAACCAGGAGTAACCCCTGAGCATCACCAAGTGTTGCCCCCACACAAAACAAAACAAAGATTTTCTCAACATTGCACATTGACATATACTCTGGCTAATCCATTAACCTATACTTAGACATCTGTCCAGATTCAACAATATGAAACTGAGGGCTAATAAATAAAAGTATTAGTTGGTAAAAGTATTAGTTGGCACGCATGAAGGTACCGGGCAGAGGAACAAAGGCATGCGGGTCCCAGGGCTGAGATCTCCAAGTCTGCTCGGATAGGGGCTGAGCATCCTCCACCCATATCCTCCATATTCCAGTAGGCAGGGGTCACACCCACCAACTGGCCCCCTGGCGCCGTGTAATCTCATCAGCGACCAAGACCCAGAGACTATAAAACCCAGATCCCGGAAGAGAACAGCGCAGAGTCTCCTGCCCCCGCGCCTGGCTGTCCTCGCCAGGGCCCCTGGAGGGGAGTGGGTTGAGTTTCCCTCCCCGTCCCGACCAGGGCTCTGGCAGCCAAAGACCTCCAGAACCAGCCACCACCATGCTGAGACCGCTCTCCGCATGCATGAAGGTACCAGCAGAGGAACAAAGGCATACGGGTCCCGGGGCTGAGATCTCCAAGCCTGCTCGATCGGGGCTGAGCATCCTCCACCCAGATCCTCCATATTCCAGTAGGCAGGGGTCACACCCACCAACTGGCCCCCTGGCGCCGTGTAATCCCATCAGCAGCCAAGACCCAGAGATTATAAAACCTAGATCCCAGAAGTGCGCAGCCACATACACCTTATTATCTCATTCTAACTTTGGACAAAATGGTAGGCTACCAGATGTAACCTGCCCACAGGGCAGAGTCTGGCAAACTCCCCGTGGTGTACCTAATATGCCCAATACCAGTAACAATGATGGGGCTCATTCTCCTAACCCTGAAAGAGCCTTTAATATGGCACTTTTAAAAAATCTCAGGGCTAGGATGAAGGAGACGTTACTGGGGCCTGCTCGAGGCAATCGATGAACAACAGGATGGTTGTGATCGTGATTAGTTGGTAGGTGGAGAATGGATGCATTCAGAAGAGGATCTGATTTCTGGAGGAATTTCTTCGTTGTCTGTGACAGTAACCTATGACAGTAACAAGATTAGCACACCAAAGAGTTAAAGAGAAACAGCACCTTCCAACCCCCAACTACTGTTTCTAGCTCCCCTAGTCCCAGCCGAACCAGCGGTCAGCCTGGTCCTGTAGGTGTGGCCTCTGAGCCAGGGAGCCTGGCCTTTGAGCTAGGGGGCGTGGATAGGGGGCATGGCCTACTCTGAGGGCAGCAGTTATTTTCCCCTTTCCTAGCAATTTGGACTCATATCTTGACCTCCGTCACGTAACTCGGGGGAGAATGTCTCGGCAATCTCAAATACATCAGGCCAATAATCCACTAGCTCATCCCAGTTGCACCACAATACCCGTAGACGTGTACAAGTCCAATGTAAAGGACTACATCCCCCGAAGCTCCACCAGAGGCCACAGAGGAGAACATGAGAGGAAGCCACAACTCCTGAAGGGGAAAAAGGCGACCACTAGACCGAGCTCACCCAGAATCCCCAAATTAACCAAGAGGGAAAACTCATAGTGAACTGTGGTTCCCACCTTCATACTACCACCACAACATGAAGAAACAGCACAGATCCCCACCACGCCACGAGGGGAAGATGAAGAAAAAGGTCCAGAGGCCCCCAACAGGGGCTACTCACAAATACAGTCTCTCCAATAAGGAATTCAGAATCAAAATGTTGAAGATGTTCAATGAACTCAAAGAAACAGTGGAACAGACATCCAGGAAATTAAAAGAGGACTTGAATGAAACAGTGGAACAGGCAGCCAACAAAATACCGGAAGAAATGAGAGCAGAAATAGAAAAGCTGCAAACAAATGTCATGAATAAAGGATTTGATAGATGAAATAAAAAACTCAGTGAGTGCCCTCACCAGTAGAATGGCTACAGCTGAGGACAGAATCAGTAAGCTTGAAGATGAGCACCAGAAAGTTTACAGACAACAACAAACCATGGGAAAAGACCTCACAATAGCCCCGGGGTAAATCAGAGTCCTAGGGGATGAATCCAAGAGGAGCAAGTAAGAATCATCAGAGTACCAGAAGGACAGGGAGGCAACCCCAATGGAAAAGCCACAGTTAAACATATCATTGCCGAAAAGTTCCCAGAGCTGGAGAATGCAGGCATCCGGACCCAAGGAGCCCGAAGGGTGCCAAGTAAAAGAGACCCTAATAAAAAGACTCCAAGACACATCAGAGTCAGAATGATGGATGATATGGATAGAGAAATGATCCTGCAAGCAGCAAGGTTGAAGAAGGATGCCACATACATAGGAGCACCCTGTACATTTACAGCAGACCTGTCAGAGGAAACCCTCCAAGCCCAAAGGCAATGGGGGGATATAGTGAAAAAACTCAATGAAATGAACGCCTCACCAAGAGTACTCTATCCAGCTAAACTCTCATTCAAACTCGGAAGGAACCATACACTATTACATGGATAAACAACAGCTCAGGAACTTCATAGACAAAGCCAAACTTGAAAGAACCACTAAGAGGGCTTCTATAAGACAAGAAAACACCCTACAAGCACAACAAGTCCCTACAGAAAGATGGCACAAAACTCTCTAACAATAATCTCTCTCAACATCAATGGTCTAAATGCACCAATCAAGAGACACAGTGGCAGAATGAATTCGGAAACTGAACCCAACATTCTGCTGCCTACAAGAAACTAATCTGAATGGTCAGAGCAAACACAGACTCAAAGTTAAAGGATGGAAAGCAATCCTGCAAGCAGACACCTCCCTCAAAAAATCTGGGGTAGCCACACTAATATACGACAACATAAATTTCAGGTTGAAAAAGACTAGAAGGAACAGCAAAGGTCATTTTCTGTTTATCAAGGGATATGTGTAACAGGAAGAAATCACACTCTTAAATTCATACACACTTAATGAGGGACCAGCTAAATAGTTAAAACAACTGCTAACAGATTTCAAGGAGGACATTGCTAGCAACACAATAGTAGTCAGAGAATTCAACATCGCCTTATCATCTCTGGATAGGTCAACAAGAACAAAACTCAGCATGCTAGACATTGACTTTGAAGGAAGAAATAGTAGAGAGAGGGCTAATAGACCTATACAGGGCTTTACACCCCAAAAAGAAAGAATACACATTCTTTTCCAGTGCACACGGAACACTGTCCAAAAATAGAAAGGCCACATGTAAGGTCACAAAACCGACCTCAATAGAATCCGGAAGATAGAAATAGTATCAACAATCTTTTCAGACCACGATGTGCTGAAGATAGGAGCGAAGCATACACAGACACGGAGAGACAAATCAAACACCTGGAAATTAAACAACTCAAAGTTGAACAACGAGTGGATCTGGAAGGAAGTCAAGGACGAAATAAAAAAATACTTGGAAACAAATGTGAATGAAGACACAAGCTATCGGAACCTATGGAATGCAGCGAAAGCTGTGTTAAGAGGAAAATTTGTAGCTTTGCAAGCATTCCTAAGGAAGGAAGAAAGGGCCTCTTAGATGACCTGACCTCACAGCTCACGATCTTAGAAAATAACCAAAAAAAGGAACTCGAGCCCCGCTGAAGGAAAGAAATAATAAAACTTAGAGCAGAAATCAGACATGGAAACCCAAAAAACAATCCGAAAGGTCAGTGAAATCAAGAGCTGGTTCTTTGAGAAAATAAACAAGATCGATAAGCCACTAACAAGACTCACAATGAAAGAGAGAGAGAGAGCCCTAATAAACCAAATCAGAAATGAAAAAGGGGACATCGCAACAGAAACCAATGCAATTCAAAAGATCATCAGAGACTGCTTTGAGAGTCTGTATGCCATGAAACAAGATAACCTAGAGAAATGGATACGTTCCTGGATTCCTATAATCTCCCAAGACTGAACCAAGAAGACTTGGAATGCCTGAATAGACTCATTCATATCAAGGAAATGAAACCGAAATCAAAAGTCTTCCCAAAAACAAAAGCGCAGGCCCAGATGGATTCACTAGCGAATTCTTCCCAACATTTAAAGAAGACCTTTTGCCAGTTCTCCTCAAGCTTTTCCATGAAATTGAAAAAAACAGGAACTCTCACAAACAGCTTCTATGAGGCACTTATCTTCCCAATACCAAAAGCAAACAAGGACACCACTAACAAAGAAAATTCCAGGCTAATATCTCTGATGAACATGGTTGTGAAAATCCTCAACAAAATATTAACAAATAGAATCCAACAACTCATCAAAAAGATCATACACCACGACCAAGTGGCATTCATCTAGGGGATGCAAGGATGGTTTACCATTTGGAAGTCAGTCAACATAATCCATCATATCAACAAAAGTAAAGATAAAAACCATATGATCATATCAATAGAAACATCAATATTTCACCAGGAATACCACTCCTGGGAATATATCCCGGAGAGGCAAAAAATTACAGTCCAAATGACATCTGCACTTCTATGTTCATTGCTGCACTGTTCACAGTAGCCAAGCACTGTAGCACTGTAACGCTGTCCTCCCATTGTTCATCAGTTTGCTCGAGCAGGCCCAGTAACGTCTCAATTTGTAAGACTTGTTGTTACTGTGTTTGGCATATGAATACGTCACAGGTAGCTTGCCAGGCTTTGCTGTGCAGCCGAGACACTCTCAGTAGCTTGCCAGGCTCTCCAAGAGGGGCAGAGGAATTGAACCCAGGTCAGCCTGGTGGGCCGCATGTAAGGCAAACACCCTACCCACTATGCTATTGCTCCAGCCCACAGTAGCCAAAATCTAGAAAAAACCTGAGTGCCCGAGAACAGATGACTGGTTAAAGAAACTTTGGTACATCTACACAATGGAGTACTATGCAGTTGTTAGAAAAGATGAAGTGATGAAATTTACATATAAGTGGTACTACATCGAAAATATCATGCTAAGTTAAATCAGTCAGAAAGAGGGACATAGAAAGATTGCATTCGTCTGTGAAATATAAAGTAACAAAATGGGAGACCGTCACCCAAGAATAGTTGAGATAAGTACCAGGAGGTTTGCTCCATGGCTTGGAGGCCAGCCACATATGCTAGGGGAAAAGGCAGCCCAGATAGAGAAGGGAGCAGCAAGTCAAGAGTGTTGGGAGGATCCTCCCAGGATGGGAGATGCATGCTGAAAGTAGACTATAGACCGAACATGATTGCCACTCAGTTCCTCTTTTGCAAACCACAGCACCCCAAAAGAGAGAGAGAGAACCAAACGGAATGCCCTGCCACAGAGGCGGGGTGGGATGGGAGGAGGGGAGGGGGCTTGGGAGGTATACTGGGATCATTGGTGGTGGAGAATGGGCACTGGTTGAGGGATGGGTACCCAATCATTGTATAACTGAAACCCAAGCACAAAAATTTGTAAATCTAAAACGGTACCTCATGGTGTTTGACTAATAAAAATTAAAAAAAAGAAAAATCATAGTTGATCTGTAAAGAGTCTAACTGAGCAGCAAATATTTGTCCTGAAGACTGGGTACTTGGTCCTTGGAGATCAGTGGAATAATCTTATGATTATTGTTTGTGTGTTTGCTTGTTTGGCAGCATCCTCAGAAGTGCTCAAAGTTTACTCCTAACTTTGTGTTCTGGGGTCAGAACTGGTAAGGCTTGAGGGAGCGTATGGGGTGCTGGGGATAAGACCCAGGTTGGCTGCCTACAAGACGAGGCCTTTATCTGCTCTACTGTCACTCTGCCCCCCAGTTGAATAATCCTAAATACATGTACTGAACTCCATGCCCTATTTATTCTGAATAAATAGCGATGATCACTTTGTTTCTCCTTTTGTTTTTGCCAATCACAGGTGTAAATTTAGGGTTTCCTGTGCCCCCCCCCACCCCCCCACACACCATACGGCACTTGTTCACTGATTACTAGTTTACTTACCTGGAACTTATGTCTGTAGATGCTCCCAAAATTATCCCCAGTTATCTTTCATGATCAAAAGCAAGCTCTTCCTTTTTGACAGGTGAAGAACAATACATCAGTAATATGGACGGGGAATTCATGAAGGCTTTACAGGCCCGAAAGAAGAGTACCAGCACCGAGCTGACGATTGAACCAGAGAAGGCCTCATCCGAGAGAAACAGCCTGTCCTTTTTCCATCATGAACAGCTAGACAATAGTCATCAGCGTGATATGCTTACTAGACTAGATTCCATAATGTCTTTGTTACAGGTTGGGGACATAGATGCAGAACCAACATTGTTATCCTTCATTAAGTTTCTTTTTAAAGATGTGCAAGATGGAGGAAATCCTCTGGCTCCTTCGAAAACCAGCACGGCTTGGATTTCTATACAGCCCGAATCCAACAGTGAAATCTACAATAAGGTGAAAAAAATCCATGTTCTCCAAAGTCTAATCAACACAGAAATTCAAGAAAAAGTCCACAAAGTTAGAAAGAAGGAGAAAACTGCCACGCAGGTCCATTCCAGTCTTTTCGGGCCCAAATTTAAACGCCATTTTTTTCCAAAGAAATTGGAAACTGTCGGGCCACCAAAGAAAAAACACTTAGGAAATGTTCAGGAGTGGGAGACGCAACCACTGCAAGGGAGCAGCGTGCTCAAGGATCCCGGGGGCCTGCAGAAGAGTTACTTCAAAGAAGAGGGCACTCCCCTCAGCCAGAGGCGAGGGAAGGCTTGGTCCATGGCGGGGAACATTGCCCAAGAAAGACGGCACAGGCAGCTGGCCCCGGAAAGACCGAAAGACTTTATCTTGGCAGGGAGGCCCAGGAAATTGGTGGAAAGCTCCTTCAACGAGGAGTCATCCTTCATCCAGGAGCACAGGGCGCCGGCCTCCGTGCCCCTGGAACAGCACTCCATGGGCAGCCCGTCTGCCGCCGCTGCTTTCCAAGTGCCACTGGAGGACGAAATCCCATCCAAAGACCTGAAAAGAACTCTACGCGTCTTAGAGGATGCGGGCGCTCGAGTTCGGAACATGAAGGTTCCCAGCCCCGTGTCACACACCGGGAAGAACTACCAGTTTCGTAAACTTGACTCTCAGCTGGGCCGCAGAATACCCCAGGCCAGAGTGAACACAGCGACAAAAGAAGCAGCACCGCAGAGGCCGGTGCTGGCCAGGAGGCCTCCTTTCGGTGCAGTGAAGCGCCTCGTCAACTCCCCGCCGAGGGAGGGGTCTCTGTCCTGGAGACACCAGGACAAACCTGTCACGGAGCCATTCCTTTCATTGCGCTCCAGCCGGGAAAAGAAGACCGCGGAGAGCACGCGTGCTCCAAACGGGGGGGATGCCAGAAGCATCGTGCCGCCAGAGAAAACTGCCGGTATCCAAAGCACTGCCCCTGAGGAGGAAGAGGGGATGGAGGACAGCCTCATGCCGGCTGTCAGACAGCCCAACGAGATGCAGTGGGAATATCAGAAGGTGGCCACCGACATCGACTCCCCCCCACAGAAACCCGACCCCAGAGACGAACTTGAGATGCAGCTCATCCAGAAGTTGCGGCCCCTTATCCCCAACAGTAATGTGAGGAAGTTCATTGCCCAAGTAATTCGGACTCTGAAAATGGACTGCTCCGATCCCCGGGTGCAACTGGAGTGTGCCAAGGTGGTCCACAAAACCGGGCTCCTGATGAAGCTTCTTAGTGAGCGGCAGGACGTAAAGGTGTCCAGTGAAAAATGGGATACGGACCAGTGGGAGGCTGAGAACTACATCAGTGAGAATACCGAAGGCCAGGGTGATCAGAAACAGCAGGAGGCAAGTGAGGTGAGGACAGACTTTTGTTTTTTTAACGGAGTCTCATGCAGAGTGAAATAAGCCAGAAGGACAGACATAGAATGATTGCACTCATTTATGGGACGTAAAAATCACTAAAACTTACTATGAGATTAACACCCAAGGACAGTTAGAAACAATGGCCAGGATGAATGGTCCACGGTTGGAAGCCTGCCTCAAGGGCTGGCAGAGAAGGCAGCTGGGATAGAGAAGGGATCACTGCAACAATGATAGTTGGAAGGGATAGCTCTGGGTGGGAGATGTGTGCTGAAGTGGGTCAAGGATCAAACATGATGAGCTCTCAGTATCTGCACTGCAAACCATAACGCCCAAAAGGGGGGCATGGAGTGAGCGGAGAGAGTAAGAGGGGGGGGAGGGAAGAAAGGGGAAAAGAGGGGGGTGGGAAGAGAAAGGGAGGGAAGGAGAGAGAGAGAGCGAGAGAGAGAGAGAGAGAGAGAAGAAAAGTTCCTGCCATAAAGGCAGAGGTAGGCTGGGGGCGGGGAGGAGGTGGCAGGAGGAATGCGGGGATTTTGTTGGTGGGTAATGTACACTGGTGGAGGGATGGGTGTTGGAGCATTGTCTGACTGAACCTGGATCACGGTCAGGAAAGCTTTGTAACTGAATCTCACGGTGACCAGGCTCAGGGGCTTCCGGGCTCTCAGGCCATGCCATGAAAGAACACAAGCAAGAAGACCAGGGTGTCTTGGCTCTCCCTCTCCTGCTGGCTCGCTCTCTTTTTTGTGGCCACACAACTTTGACTACAAGAATGATTGTCCCTGTGCTCGTTTGTAGAAAGGTAGCACTGTTCCTAGGAGAGGTAAGAAGAGGACCTAACACACCAGATAAATAAATTGTAGAAGGAAAGGCTACAGACAAGATGGCATAATAGATCTGGTGTGCTCTTTAAGAACATATTGGGGCCTAGTTCATGCCCAATTTAATCAGCTAATCAGTGACTGAATAAATAGCAGTACTCCTACATTTGAAAAAAAGAAAAAAAGAACATATTGGGGCCAAGGAGATAGTTCAAAAAGAGTCCCCATGAGTACTGAGCGAGAAGTAGCTCTGAGGACCCTGGATATGGGCTGAAAAACAAACCACCCCAAAATAAAACCACATACAAAATAAAAACCTATAGTCCACTCCTTTCAGAGGATGGGGTTTTAGACTAGTAGAAGGATAACCATTCTTTAGAACGGGCTTAAGAATCCTTCCCATCTTTCTGTCTAATTGTTCCTGGGTATTGAAGCGATAGTACAGTGGGTAAAGCACTTACTTTGCATGCCACCAACCCGAATTCTATGCCCAGCGTCCATTTTGGTCCGCCAGGAGTGATTTCCGAGTGCAGAGCCAGAGTAACCCCTCATCATCACTGAATGTGGCCCCCCCAAAAGTAATGCATGAAAATAATTTTTATTTTTCAGCTCATAAAAGTTCCAGGATATGTTGTGTACCACAATCAAAAAGCAGTCGTTGCAATAAATGTGGCTGTCGTCGTGATATTATTGGTTTTAATTTTATGTCTCATTGAGGTAAGAACAGTTCATTCAGATTTCCAGGATTTAATGGCATGATAATAGATTCAGGGGGTTCAAATGGAAAATAAAAGCCCCTTTTCCTCCTACTGATGCTTGATTTTCCTCTTCAGTCTTGAGTAATGAGGTGTGGTTGCTTCTCATATTGCAAAGATAATCCCAGGGTTTGTTGAAGGGAACTGACTCCCAAGAGGTCCCTGTGGAAATGAACCCAAATAACAAGCTTTCGAAAATTTTGAAAAGTTAAGAAGGCTAGAGATGAAACAAAAAGTAGTCTTCCTGTGCGCTGTTTGGGGACTACATCCTGTTTGTTCAGGGCCTGCCCCCAGCTCAGTGCAGAGGGGAGAGGGGGTGTCACTTCTGGTGGTGCTCAGGGGACCTTGCAGAACTAGGGATCCAGCCTGGCCCTTCTGCATGCAAAGCATGCACTCTGACCATTCAGCTCTCTTTCTGGTCACCATATAGACTCCCCCCCCCCCCCCTTTTTAAATCAAAAGGATGTCAGTGGTTTAACTTAACACTCACTGACATTCTTCTACTGATTACTTTCCTTGTTGACTGGAAGGATCAAAAGTGTAGAATCTCCACCCTCCTAGGACCTGATCCAGTGCAGTAGCTCTCATTAGGTTTAAGCACCATCTCCCTGGATGAAGTTAAAACACTGCAGCTAAGACTGGGGAGAGAGCTCCGAGGGCTACTTTTCACGCTTTGCGTGAGGGAGACCTGGGTTCCATCCTCGGCAATGCATGCCCTCCCCGCCCCCCCAAGAGCCACCAGGAGCTACCCCTAAACAGCAAATCAAGTTGTTCCTGCCTATTACTGGGTGGCTCCCAAACCAAACACACCCGCACTGCAGCCTGAGCCCGAGCTGGGCTACTCTCAAGCCTCGTAGCGTGCGGTAGTTACTCCAGGAGCTTGCCTATATCTGTCTTCTGTTCAATGACACACCACTGACTTTTCCCAGCAGGCACATTAAAAAAGTGATTTAAGGGCCAGGGAGATAAGTCCAAAGACTCAAACTTCAATTCACTTTGCATGTGGGAACCCCAGATGCTAGCCACAGTGCTCCATGGTCCCTGAGCACCACCCCAGAAGTAGGCCCCGCAAGCACCAGCTGGCAGGAAGAGCCTCAAAAAATGAACAACAGCAACGTGGGATGAAAGGGGTTCGGGATATAGGTTAGTGATGTTGCACTTGTCTTGCATGTGTGAGGCCCTGGGTTCAATCCCTGGCAGCACCACAACCACCAACAAAGAATTAGAATAAATTAGAAGCCATGGTGCTGACTGAGGAAGAGCTCTCTCAGTCTTTGGTATGTTTAAGCCGCTCCTTTGTGACGTCATCAGCAAACACAGCTCTGATTTATGCCAACCACAGTACAAGGAATTTCCTGTATGTTGTCTGGTTTAATCCTCGCAATCCTCTAAGGACGGCATTAGCATCCCTCCAATTTTGCTCTTCTTGTTGTGCTGGGTACCGACCCCATGTCTCCTGCATGCAAGGCAGGCATTCTCCCACTGAGCTACCTCCCCAGCCCTATCATCCCGCTTTCAAACATGGGGGTCACCTACAAAGTAGCCCGTGCTCCTTATTGCACTGTTCTGTTTTATCTCCTTAAGGACAAAAGCACGGAAATGCTTCAGGTATTGAAATTTCAGTCTAAGTCGCTCAAAGAGTTGACATATTGATTTAGTTATTTATTTGGGGCAACAGCCATCTGTGCTCAGGGCTTATTCCTGGCTCTGCTCTCAGGCATCACTCCAGGTGGGGCTCAGGGAACCATCTGGAGTCCTGGGATCGAATCTGCGTCAGCCACAGTCAATGCAAATGCCCCACCCACCGTATGATATCTGTAGCCCGAGGAATAACATATCTCATAGGACCTTTATTGTTTTGGGTTTTTTTGGGTAAGAATCATTGCAAATGCAACCAAGTTTTGTCTCCTGTAAGACTCGACTCTGCTTGCTGCATTGATGAGGACTCCTCACTGGGGATGCAGAGTGGTGATGGGAAAGGCATCAGACTGGTTCTTGACATTGTTTAGAAAACGTTGTGAAAAAGTATGTTTCTGTGTTTGGGTTTTGGCAGATACTTTTAATTTCCTACCTCATAGTTTTTAATTTGGATTAATGCGCTGAATTTCTCTGAAACAGTCACTAAGCTGTATTCCTAACGTGCCCCTTCAGTCATGTGCTGTAGGAGAGTCCAGGGACTATTAAACAGGAGAGAATTCCTGTTCTCAAAAAGTGATATCAGTGGGTAGATACAGCAAAGTCGATGGAATTAATAAGGTTTTAGAGAGATCGGTCACCGAGATAATCATGATCATATTTTTTTTCCAAAACAGATTTATTCTTGTAGAGCAAGACAGAGTAAAGATGGAAGATCCAGGTAAATATTAGTCTGACAATCTTTCACTTGCACTGGAGTGTCCTCCCCCTGGTTCTTGGGGACCCTGGAGCCCTTCTGTGTGCTTCTTGGCCCGTGACCTGGGCCTCCTGAGTTCAGTGTTAGTGTCTTAGGTCTCTGCAAGTCCGGGCTGCTCAGTCCCTCCTGTGGGGTGGCTGTTACCTATGCCAGCCCACCTGTGCTCAGGGAGGACATACGGAGCCAGAGGCCAGAGTTGGAGCCTCATGTCCAAAAGGCCCTTTTAACTAGCTCGAGACTACTCCAGCCTCAGTGCTCAGTGTGGTGCCAGGAATTGAACCCAGGGCCTCACACATGCAAGCCAAATACTTTACCACTGAGCCACATCCCCAACCTCTGTCTCTGTCTCTTATTAAAAGGAATAGAGGGAGAATGGAAACTACCTTGCCCTTAGGAACACACTGCTGGTGATTGGGAAAGAGCATGGTCCCTGTCCCTTGGGACCTCTCCATTGACTTGGGAGCTGCGTTTCTTGCCTCCACTCAGCACCCACGGGCTCTGTACACATGATAACACTGCCCGTAAAGTGCAAGACTGCTCTCTCCTCTCTTCACTCTCAAAACTCATCTCCGTGCCTCGGTGCGGTTCCTGCCTTTGATGCTGATACCTGTGGCTTCTTTGCTCACGGGCGATTGTCTGCAGCATGAAAACTAGTGAGCTAAAGGATTTGGCTAATTGCACACAGGCATTTACTCTGGTTCAGCATCTGGGATGAAGCAGCTAGGACGATAGAATCATCCCCCCAGCCCCAACTTCCGGTAAAGGGTGCCTGAGGGACTAAATCCAGAGGCGACCAGTTGAAAAGCTTCTGGACAGACTCTAATGCTTTCGGTGTGGTGGGTAGTTTGTTCATTGCACAGGGCATTTGCTGGGGCAACGGTGGTAACCAGAAATAAATATCCTGCCTGTTTTCCAAGCCAGGTACCTATAAAGGTCTCTCAAGAGTCTACGGGGTCCCTTTGAATGGACCCGACAAATTTCTAAAAATTGCCACAGGCATGCATGGAAACTTTGTCAAGGTGTCAGGTCCTCGTGGTTTGACTCCTCATGGTTCCAGACCAAGGTAGTTTCCAAACAAGACCAGAGACCTCCATCCTAGGAAGGATGGGAAATGGGGTGGGTTATGAATCACGTGCGTCCGTGTTTTCCTCCAAGGACCTTCTTTGGATTATTGCTGCATAGAAGTTCACTGGAACACGAGAGTCAGGTAACCACTGGGGGGAGGCGGCACTTAGGCAGGACAAGAGTGGGCCGGGGTGCAGGCTTACGCGCTCCCCTTGCCTTTTCCAGAAGGGCTTTTTCTGGCGAAGACGGCCCCTGTGGCTGAGAGACATGTGTCAGCCACTCAAGGCTACATGTAAGAAAAACATGGCACAGAAGCTCCATGACAAGGATTCCTCTGACGAGGATGAGATTTTCAATAAAGACGCAGGGTAAACCATGGCAACAGCTCCAATACCTTCCTGAAGTCAGGAAGTGATGAAGACGGGGCACGTCCCTTTCAAGAGCTGACTGTATTCTTCTTGTTCCAGGGAGCCCAGGGAAGTCATGAAGAGAGCAGCACGGACTCCTGAGGAGAAAGCAGCCAAGGAGACCAAGACAGCCAAGACTCCCAAGACCCAGGGAGCACAGGGGACACAGGCACCACAGCGCTCCCCACCACCAATTGTCCCCCTGGCACGACAGACCAGCGAGCCTCCACATGGCTCCCTAGAACCACAGAACGCAGAGTCACCACACTCCATCGGGTCTTCACAGCCCGTCGCAGCACGACAGTCCGTCAAGGCTCTGCAGACCCCTCATGTGCAGCAGATCTTCAGATCCCAGGAGATCCTGTCATCCCCGGAGATTTCAGATCAAACGGATGAGTAACAAAAGAAGTCATCACAGGCAGCCGTGGTGTTAGAGGCCCTACAGTGAACACCTCCTGCTTCATACCACCTGGACATTTTATTGTCTGAAGAGCCTCTTGGCAGTTGCTGTAAAATTCTTCTTTTTCGTATGTTAAATACATACATGCATAAGAGCAGTGATGGGCTTTCAAATTAACACGAGAGTTCATCGATCATGTAACCAATTAAGGCTGTTGGCAGGAAATGCATGACTAGAATCCTTCCCAGAGGTGGGGATGAGGTCCGCGAGGAATGGATGGGATGGGAGGAAGGGAGGCTACCCGTGTGGTCCCCTGCCAAGTGCCCTCACCGCCCGCAGTAGCCAAATGTAGACGCGGGCGCGTAGCCTGGCACTTTGGGCGCTCGGTGGTCAGTAGCTTGGGGGACATGGCACTTAAGGGGGGTGTCTGAACTGCGCCCCCCTGGGGGGGATTCAGTGGTGAGCTAGTGTGAGGGGCCGCCCCTGCTGCGTGGCCAGGGTTTCTCCTCACCTTCTCTTCCCCTGGATGGTCCTGGGGTTTGTGTGTCTGGCACTGGGGTTGGATTCCCTGGGCTGGCCACCCGCCTGGTAGGCATCAGCCAAGTCCCTGAAGGTGAGTGCTGGTGCCTCAGTCACTCCCTCCACTGCAGGGGCGGGAACCAGCCCTTCCTTCCTGGTGCTGGCCTGGGAAAGTGGAGAGTGCCACCGTGTGGTCGCAGAATGCTGTGTGAGTTTTCCTGGCACATGTTAAGGCCTGTCACCCTGTGCTCCCCCAGCTAGGACTGTTTGCTGCTCAGCCCCAACAACCACCCACTCGGGAGCACTTGGCGATTAGTCTTGTAGTTAGGGGAGTGGATAAGGAGTCCTGGGGAGGCTACTGCCAGGGTGGGTACAGGAGCCATCGAATTTGTTTCTTCTTTCTGCGCATGCCCGATCACTGAATTTTGACCATTTGGGACACTCCTGGACCCAAGGAACTGTGACATCAGAGCAGCACACACACTTGTCCCATGCGTGGTAGGTGCACATTCCCTCCACATTCTCTTGACCGGACAGCAGAGAGGTGGTTATTTCACAGCTGTGGATACGGACCCAAGGAGAACCCATCATCTCTGTGCCGCTTCTTTGAGTCTCATTCCTTCAGGCTCCTTAAGGTGCCTCCCAGATCCCCCTCCTTGAGACTGGACTCCTCAGAGATGCCAGGAAGTCCTGAGGTGCCAGGACTGGTTTTCTCCTCCTGCAGCTGTGTGTAGTGGGATGAGCTCTCCGGAGGCTCCTCTGATGATGTGTGTCTTCACTTCCCTTTCTCGCCAACTGGAGACACCTTCCCTGTCCCTCTCTGGATTTGTGTGGTGCTGGGGATCAAACCCAACCAGTGAGTGAGTCACTGGCGACAGGAGAGACAGTCATGGCAGGGAAGGGGCCGGGTCTGGCCATCCGCAGCTCACATTGTACATGTAGGGCCCAAATGCTCAGGATCTCTTGAACAGACAATGCTGGGCTTGCCAGAGGCCCCCATGCCAAAGATCAGAGGTGGACCCTTTAAGACACATGCACGAGTGAGCTCAGAGTGTGAAGTGGCATGAAAAAACTGAGGTGACAGGACTGCAGCAATAGTATAATGAGTAGTAACGCCGCTTGCACTTGCCTTGTGTCCAACTGACCCGGGTTCAATCCCCAACACAACATATGATGCCTCGCGCCCTGCCAAGAGTGATCCCTACACTCAGAGCCAGGAGTAAGCCCTGAACTCCACTGACTGTGGCCCAGATCCACGATAAATTCAGCTTTGAAAGTTCCTAAAGAACAGAGTCAGTTTCGCAGTTGCTGAGGACAGTGGCACAGAGACCAAAACCAGGCTAGTTCAGGTGGTCATCCTCAAAACGTTGTCAGTTCCTGCGGTGCCATCAGGAAAGTAAAAACACGGCCCAGGGCATACAAAGTTTGGCCAGAGCTGTAGCATAGCGGGTCGGTGTTGCCTTGCAGCACCCAACCAGGTTTGATCCTCAGCACCCCACATCTTTGAGTAACTTCTGAGCATATCCAGATGTCGCAGGGGAGGAAAAGAAAATTTCTGTACAAGCTCAGTACAGACGCACCCATCACCATCACGGTGGCCTAGTGGTGTAGTGTTTCCCACTGGTCGGTGGTGGGCCTGGGGGCAGAGGGTCAGCTGGAGCCACAGGAGTCCAAGCAGGTCTGGAGAAACGGCCCCTGTGCACAGCTGCCGGGGATGGGAAAGGGTGCAGAGTTCCTCAAAAAGATACAGAAGGCCGGGAGGAGGAGGAGCCACAGTGGGTCAGGAGCTTGCTTGGCATGCAGCTGACTAGGGTTCTGATCTTCTTCTGCCCCTCCCCCTTCCTGGCATTCTTTATGGTCCCCTGAGCCCAGCAGGAGTAATTCCTAAGTGCAGAGCCAGCCAGATGGAACCCAAAAACCCCAACGTCTGTAGGGCCGGGGGGGGCAACATTTTTATTGAGCAACTCTTGGCCCATTCCTGTCATGGGAGAAAACTGTTTGCAAATGTGGAAGCAGCCGAATGGGGCAAGAGCAAAGGCCACAGATGAGGGCAGTTGAAAGGGAGCATGGGAAGGGCCACAGGAGGCCAGAGCAGAGAGCCACAAAGGGGACCCAGGGAGTGATGAAGCCAGAACCAGTGTCTTGTCTCCTCAGGGTGAGGTGGAAGCTGCACTGTGAGGGCCGACCACTCTTTCCCTGCTTCACAGGCTGTCACCTGGAATGAGGTAGGGGCGGGGCGGGGGGGTGGGGGGGAAGCTGGCCTTCTGTGGAGTTTTCCAGAACTTGTCTCTCTCCTCACTTGGGGATTCTCCACTTTGTCCTTTGTTTTCATTCTGTGTCACTTTCTTCCCTTGCCCTTCAGAAATCAAATGGAACCAGAGCCTCGGGACTAAAGGGTTTCCAAGGGCTGCTTCCTCGTTCCCATGCAATTCCAGGCCCCTAGTTCCTGACTGTCATTCGTAAAACCAAGGAGACCCCGATGACGTTTCTATATTTGGGGGCTTATTAAAGTGCTCCTTGTACGGAGAAAGTGATCACATTTTCCTGATCGAATTTGAGTGCCTACTGCAAGCGGAGCACTCAGGGTACTAGAAGGAAGATAAAACCTGTTGTCCGCAACATGTTCATCGTGAAGTGGAGACCGTGCGAACAGCTTCACAGGGAATGGGAGAGGCAATGGACGCTGTAATTACTGGCCTGAAACAATATCAGCCTCCAGTAACTTATCCACAGCCAGTTGTGTTTTGTGGAGAGAGAAAGCTTGGGTGCAGCTTAATGATCTGGTACGGAGGCATAGAAAATAGTGGTGGGCGGAGGAAGCGTGTCAGAATGCCAATGATTTCAGGCTGCTTGGAAGAATGGACTAGAGTTCAGATCATCTTTCAAAAGTCCTGGATAGAATCTATGTCGTTCTTTTGTTTCGGGGAGAGGTATTTGGGACCACACCCAAGTGTCTGGGGCTATTCCAGAATATCTTGCTCAAGAGTGACCCGTTGGAGTGCTGGGGATACACTCCCAGTCATCAAACAAAAGGCAGAACATTAATGATTAGGGATGACTTTTTAAAAAGACATTTTTCTTTATATTTTACATACTATTCCAAGGATCAGAGTTGGGTTGACCACATGGAAGTCAAGCACCTTACCCTCTCTCCTATCTTTCTTAGCCAGGATTTTTGTTTGTTTGTTTTTGCACCACACCTGATGATGTTCGGGGGTTCCTCTTGACTGTGCACTCAGGACTCACTCCTGGCAGTGCTCAGGAGACCAAATGGGATGCTGGGGACCGAACTCAGGTCAGTCACATGCAAGGCAAGCACTCTCCCACTGTTGATTCCATTTTCTTTGGAGATGCCGGTATGGAATAAACCCATTTAAGGACAATCCAGGGCAATTTTCAGAAAAGGGACAGATGGACGCATGTCCTGCGTGTAACACGCATCAGTCCTGATAAAACTGGGGTGCGCCTTGAATCCCTCACGCTCCTACTTCGAGTTTTCTCTACAGCAGCCAGAAAATGAGAAATGATGATGTGGTAGTTTCTAGACTTGTAGATTTCCAGAACAGATAAAAACAACAACAATACAATTAAGACCATGAGCAAAGATTTTCCACTTTTAAAACAAGTTTAAGACTGAAGGGGATAAATAAAAATATCTTCCTTTTCATAAAACAATTATTAGCGTTGTAGAAAGGTCACACTTGATTAAAGGAACCAATTTTTTTCTTAGAAAAGAAGAACATTGGTTATATTATCCTTTATTTTTTGAGGGGTTTGTGTGTGGGGGGGGAACCTGGTAATGCCCAGGGGTTTCTCCTACCTCTGCACTCAGGAATTACTCCTGGTGGTCCTCAGTGGACCATATGAGATGCTAGGGATTGAACCTGGTCATCTGCATGCAAGGCAAATACTCTACCTGTTGTCCTATCGCTCTGACCCCTGAATATATTATTCTTTTTTCAAGGACCAGGCAAAATATCACAGATGGGATTTGGTGCTGTCCTGACTTTGCTGACCTGAGTTCAATTCCCAGATGCATAAATGGTCCCCTGCCCCTTCCAGGGGTTCAGTGATGCCTGAGCATAAAGCCAGGGGTCAGTTTGAGCATCACCGGGTGTGGCCCCAAAAGAACACAATTCCATCTGACACTAACATTTTTTTCCCCTTTTGAGTCACAGGGGTTATTTCTGGCTCTGCACTCAGGAATTACTCCTGATGGTGCTTGGGGGACCCTATGGGGTGCTGGGAATCTAACCCGGGTCGGCCACATACAAGGCAAACGCTCTGCCCACCGTACTGTTGCTCTAGTCCCTGACACTAACATTACAGATGGGTAGGACCTGCTTGCCTCCCAGGCCGTTGCTCCACCAAATAGCTACAGGGAAGCTAAGAATAGACTCTTGGGCACCACGAGCTCCCATGTTGGAACCACTACTTGAATCAACTCGATTCCCCAGTTTCTGCCCTGATCTCAGCTCCGACATCATCCTGGCCCCACAAACTCACCTTCATAATAGTCCAGTATCCTGTGGGGTCGGGATTGGGGTGGGGAGGAAGGAAATTGTTTTTTTTTTTTTTTAATTAGTGAGACACCATGAGGTACAGTCGTAGACTTACAAATTTTGTGCTTGG